GGACATGGAACTTAACCCATTGTTTTAACTTAGTTGTGACTTTAACTTAGAGATGATATGGTCAGTCTGGCACAGATGAGTCGAGAATGAACTAGAGTGAGGAGAGACTTGTGGCAAGTAGACCAACCAGCAGCCTCTTGCAATAATACAGACGTGAGGTGATGAGGGCCTGAACCAGGATGAGGGCAGTGTCACAGGGAAGAGGAGGTATGTAAGAGAATGTTAAAATTGTTAAAATTGGCAGGACTTGGCAAAAAGATTTTATATAGATTGGGGTGGGATGAAAGAGAGTGAGGAATGGTAACTGGGAGGATGGTGGTGCCGTCTACAGTAATAAAGAAGTTTAGAAGAAAAGGGGGTTTGGATAAAGGGAAGAAAATAAAGAGTACAGTATTGGACATGTTGAGTTTAAGATATCTAACCTCAGACATACTAACTGTGGGACCCTGAGCAAGTCACTTATCCCTGTTTGCCCCAATTTCCTCATCTGTAAAATGAGCTGGAGAAGAAAATGGCAAAGTTCTCCAGTATCTTTGACAAGAAAACTCCTAATGGGGTCAGGAAGAGTCGGACATAATTGAAACAACTAACCAAAAAAGGGGACATCCAGTTCAAGATATCTAGTTGGCAGTTATAGATGGGAGACTAGAGATAAGGAGAAAGGTTAGGGCTGGATAAGAGGATCTGAGAATCATCTGCATAGTGATAATAATTGAATCCACCTTGTTCCTCCCATCTGTATCCTGGATTTCCTCCCATAAAATATATTGTCTCAATATATAGTGCTCATTCATCCCTTTATGTCTTTTGTCCTTTTGTATACGATATATCTTAACAAAGTCATTTTAGCCATGGGTCTCTCCCCATCAAGTATCAGTGATACAATTTAAAATGTACATCCTATTACAAGGGATTCATCTTGCTACTCACTTACACTTTGTGCATTTTATAGTCCTCTGAGGCCATGGTCTTGACTGTGGTCTCCCTTTTAGGATATTCTCCCCTGTGAATTATTGATTCTCTACCACTCTTATTCTTCCTAGCCTATATTTCTGACTACCTCTAATAGTAGCTCATAGAGTAACAACAAAATGAAAGGTAATAAAAATACTATCTACTAAATCTTTATAGAAAAGCAGAAAATCACTTCTCAACTATACTATACATGCATGAGTACCTCTCCATATGTGTTCAAGTCCTCTGCTTTCTCACTTCTGTGACATTCTCTGTGCCTATATCTCCATACCACTTAATAATGTCCCACACCATTAACATTCTTATAAGGTTGAAATACCTCAATCCGATTTTTAGTCTCAAAAATAATATCCATTGCCTCTAAGTCCCAAGATCCCAAAGCTCGCACAGTGATAGCATTGGTGTATATACCAATGTATCTCTCATTAGTCAGAGGTTGGCACACTATTTGGTATTTCTATCATTCAACAGCTTGGTCATTTCCAAGGCAAAGTTTCTGCTTTCAAGGAAAGAAACACATGAGTGACTATTGCTATTAACAGTCTTATAATCTCAAATTACATGGATCTCTTTCAATACAGAAAATACAGTTGAGTATACATGAACATTGGTGCTCTTTGGCATGTTTTTATAAAATGTTTTTTTTATAAATCTGTTTAAAATAGTATTATGTTATCAAGTGTTGTACAAAGGACATGGAGGAGCCTTTCTTTCTGTGCCTCATGCCAATGACTGGTATTGTCTCCAGATCCAAATCTTCTCATCCAATACAAAGGATTACAGTGTAACATGGCTCTATGGATAAAATACCTATCAAGAAACCAAGTAAATGACCCCATTCTCACAAAAATAAAATTTTGAGGTCAAAATGATAGAGATGACTGATTGAACCTTAAAGGTTACTACAGTACTTTAAGGTCCTATCATCTCATACATATAACGCTCCCTCCACTAATGTAGATTACAATCCCTCTATAACTTCATTGAGTGGTGCTCTGATTAAAAAACAACATCCTGTGTGCAATTTGGTGAGGAGGCTCTCTCAACTCAAATTGACTGGTTCATAAATTTTAGACACACATTCCATAACCACTAGAGTCATTTTTCACCCCACCTTTCCAGATTGAACCCTGGATTTTAACAAATAAAAATAAAATCAACCAATTATAAACCTAGACTTATGACTCATCTATTATTCTTATCTAAAATCTAAAGTAAGTTTTTTGTAAAATGTAGGTCTCATTATGACATCTTTGTGGTCAATGAATTCCATTAGCTCCCTATTTTTTCCAATGACTTTTCTCTAGTTTGAAATGCATTCTATTCACCTCCTGACCCATACACAAAGTAGTCTGATGTGATAAAGCATAGAAACAGTTGTCAGGATACCTGGTTCTAATTCTTCAACTACTATGTCCTAGCCATATGATTCCTGGTGCTTAATTTTCTTATCTAGAAAATTAAGAAAAAATATTAAGAGGATACTTCATAGAGCAAGACAAAATAATAAAAAAACCTTCCAGGATCAATAGTCATTTATATACTTTGTTTTCAAGTATTTGCTATCACAAAGGAAGGTGTTATGAATTTCTTAGTATCTACTAGACTTTTATTGCTGCCTTTGCCTTCCTTGGGATATATGCCTAGTATTGGGATCTCTGAAATAAAGTATGTGAATAGTTTAGTCAAATATCTTGAACAATTCCAAATTGAAAATGAATATATTTGGGTTACTTGATAGCTCTGCCAAAAGGACATAATCATGCCTATCTTCCCACAGAACTTCCAAGATGGAGCATTCTTATCTTTTGTCATCCCTGCCAATTTTCAGAGGGTGAAGGGAAAACTAAGAACTCTTTTCATTCACGTTTCTATTATCAGTGATTTGGAGCATGATTTCATGTGGTTATTTATAATTTGCACTTCTGAAATATGTTTGTTTCTCCTTTTGCCACATATCAATTGGTAAATTTCCCTTCCATTGGGCATCTTTTCTTGATTCCTTGTATATTTTACATCATAGTCTATTAGCTTTGATATTTTCTTCAGTGCAAATATTTTTTCACTATCTTATATGTCTTTTAACTTGATCGTCACTGATTTTAATGAAAAAAAAACTCCAATCAACTTTGAATGGGCTGTTTTATTTCATTCTTTCCACATGTGTTTCCCAACAGCCCCATGGAACGGGAAAATCATTCAAGAGTCTCTGAATTCATCCTCCTGGGCCTTTCAGACCAACCAGAGCAGAAGAGACTGATGTTCCTTGTATTCCTGCTTATGTATCTGATCACAGGGCTGGGGAATTTGCTCATCATTCTGGCCATTAGGACTGACTCACATCTGCACACCCCCATGTACTTCTTCCTTGCCAACTTGTCCCTGGTGGATATCTGCTTCACCTCCACCACTATCCCTAAAATACTGGTTAATTACATATCTGGGAACAAAGCAATTCTTTACATCAGCTGCCTGGCACAAGTGTTCTTCTTCAGTTGGTTTGCAGGATTAGATAGCATCCTCCTTGCCTCCATGGCCTATGACCGCTACGTGGCTATCTGTGCCCCATTACACTATACCATGGTCATGACCCCAAGGGTCTGTGTCCTTCTGGTAGCAATGTGCTGGTTTGGGGCTTGTGCTAATGCCCTGACACATGCTATTCTACTGACCCAACTCTCATTCTGTGGCCACACTGAAATCCCTCATTTCTTCTGTGACCTCAATGTGGTGATAAGATTGGCCTGCTCAGACACCTTCATCAATGACTTGATGATCTACACAATGGCAGGACTGATAGCTCTAATTCCATTCATTGGCATTCTGATCTCCTATATTCACATTTTTGTGGCCGTGCTGAGGATCCCATCAGTTCATGGGAAGTGGAAAGCTTTCTCCACCTGTGGCTCCCACCTCACTGTGGTCTGTCTCTTCTATGGGGCAATCATTGCAGTGTACTTTAATCTGACTTCCAGCCACACAGCACAACAGGACACAGCAGCAGCCGTGATGTACACAGTGGTCACCCCCATGCTAACCCTTTCATCTATAGCCTAAGGAGCAATGATATAAAAGGAGCCCTGAGGATGCTCTTCACCAAGAAGTCAGGCCTCTTTTTGTGACTTTGAGACATCCTTCTGGGCTTTCTCACACTGCAAAGGTTCTCAATGAGTCTTCTTTATTGTAAGATTCAAACTGTTCACCCCTGACCTGCCCAAGAGGCAATGCAATGTGATGGATAGAGCATGGAACCAGTTGTCAGAATACATGGCTCTAGTTCTTCTACCATTTCCTGGATGTGTAACCCTAAGCTAACCAGGTCTTAAGTTTCCTTATTTATAAAATAAAAGAACAAGCTACTCAGGTGGTACATTGCATTGTTGTTCAGTTGTTTCGATCATGCCTGACCCTTTGTGACCCCCTTTGGTCTTTTCTTGGCAAAGATAATGAAGTGGTTTGCCATTTCCTTCTCCAATGGACTAAGGCAAACAAAAGTTAAGTGACTTGCCCAGGGTCACGCAATTTGTAAATGTCTGAGGTCACATTTGAACTCAGGTCTTCCTGACTCTAGGCCTGTGACTTTATCCACTGCGCCACCTAATAGCTAGAGCTAGACAAAATAATAACAAAGCTCATTTAGAGGTATAAAAGGTTCAAAAGCTCAAGGAAAATAATTTTAATTTTTTTTAAATAACTGTGGAAATAAAGGAACACTCATGACTTACCAGTACAACTATAAATTAGTTGAAGCATTCTGGAAAGCAATTCAAAATCATGCAAATAAAGTAACTAAAGTGTCTTTGGCCCATAGTTTCCAAAGCTGGGCAAATACCTTAAGGAGGTCATCTGAAAACAAAGCAGATCCCCATCAACAAGGGAATTTCTAAACAAACAGTTCTTAAAACTAAAAAAAAAAAAGACTGCAAATTATAATCAACCGTATCAAAGATTGCTTTATGTCACAAACAGGAAATGAAATGAAAATCAGTACAAATCTGAAGCTGCATCTCACACCTAGCAAATTGAAAATGATAACAAATATGTGAATAGTCAGTGTTGGAGGTGTTATGGAAAGAATGGTAGACAAAGAGCTCACTGGTGGAGCTGTGAATTGACTCACCTATACTAGAGAGTATGCTGATGCATTTGAAGAATGAGGGACATTCTATGTAAAGTGACAGAGACGGGAGGTAGAGAGTGATATGTGAGAAACAGCAAAAAGGTTAGTTTGGGTGTATTGAAGAATGACTGAAAGGCAATCATGTACAATAGGGCTAGAAAGGTAGATTGGAGTCAGGTTGTGAAGGGCTTTAAAAGCCAAGTGAAGGGGTATGTATTTTATTCTAAAAGAAATAAGAAGCCATTAGAATAATTAAACAAAAGAGACACATTGTAAGACCTGGGTTTTGAGATTATCACTTTGCCGGGCATGTGGACAATAGATTGGAGGGGAAGAAAGTGAGTCAGAAAGCCAAAATGATGGTGGTTATCATAATAGTCCAACATATTGTTATGACTGACCTGCACTAGGGTGGTAGCTACCTCCAGTAACATTCAGCATTACATGAGTAGTAGAGGAAGAAGCAAATGGTGAGAGTAATTCAGGGTTGGGCAAGGGATTTGCCCCCAGTCCACAATTTCCTATTCTATATGTAATAGGAATGAGCCCTTGGGGAGCCCATGGTTTGTTGGATTAGGCCCCACTAGTGGAAGTGGATATGCACTATGTCTCCTTGCTGAACAATATGTACTTTGCTGGGACGACACAGGCAGCTCCTCATTGGTCCCCAATGGGTGGGTTGTCTCTAACACAACTGATGATTGTGAGGCAGGGGGGACACAGAATCTTGATAAGGAACTTCTCCATAGTCTATAGAGGAAGACTTGTGGAAATAGCTCTACTCTTTCTCTTTCGGCACATTTTCCAAAGTTTTCTCTGCCTTGAACTTCCAAAAAGGTATGGCAGGAATTTCTCACTTCCACCCTGCCCAGTGGCAATGGTAGCTTACAACAAGAGCAAGTAGAAGTCTGTTGGAGAGCCTCCTTAGGCCAACCACTCCCCCTTGTGGAACATGATGGGCATGCAGTCTAGTAAAGTTCACAAACACTTGAGCTGGGTTGTCTTCCAGGAACATGTGACAGAAGGGTCCTCTAACACACATGCAAACACACACACACACACACACACACACACACTTAAAAGAAAGAGTACCCTCTGACTGCTTTCTGGTGTCCTTGATGACGCAAAGGTTTATATTTTATACTGATGAAAAGCCTTTTTTAGGGGCTGCTAAGTTGGAATTCAGTGGTGATAATAAAAGGGTGATTCTTGCCACTCAGGCTTGTTCTTCCTCCCAGATATGATGTGCAGGAATATGTCTCTGAGCCATCAGGAAGGTTGGGAAGTGGGTGCACATCCCCCCTTGCAGACACAAGCTGAGAGCTCATATCTTCCCAAATAATCTTATGCTTGTGATAGTACTGTTTCCTTTGGCACACAAACTGGCGAACTACAGAAAAGCAGGTGGCATTGTACCCTTCCTGGGCAATTAAGTAGTAGGGTAACTGCTGACAGTGTGGCTGCAGAGTCACCAGCAGAAGAAGCAGACAGGTTGAAAGGGAAGAGTCACCAGGCAGAGATGGGGCATGGGAGAGAGAGGGAGGAAGAGAGAAATAAGGGGAGGGATGGGAAGGGGAGACAGGGACACAGAAAGAGGGGAGGGAGGGAGGAAGATGGAAGGAAAGATAGCTAATACTTATAACAGTACTTTAAAATTTGCAAAGTCCTTTACCTATGTTATTTCATTTAACCCTTATAACAGCCCTGTGAGATAGATACCATCATTATCCTAATTTTATAGATGAGGAAAGTGAGGCAGAGAAAAGTAAAGTGACTTGTCCAGGGTCACACAGTTAGAAAGGGTCTGAGGTGAAATTCAAACTCAGGTCTTCTTGATTTCATATCCAACATCATGTTGTGCTATCTAGGTGGCTTTTTTAATTACAGAGTTTCAGAGCCAGGTACCAGCTACCTAGAGGGAGAATGCTTCTTAAACAGTACACTTCTCAGAGGAAAAGATCACCAGCAGTAGGATCATCCTATAACTGAAGGACTTAAAAAAAAGTCATCCCTTGGGTTGGTCATGACATCTGGACTTTCTGAGTTACGTGGACGGTGCAGATATGAGGTGACTGCAAAATAAGCATTCAGAAGTGCCACAAAGTTAACGTTACTAATTATGGGGAGTATAATGAATGAATGAAATGAGCCATTTGATATGTTTTATGTTTTCCCATTTGATCATGCACTGAGGTCATGAGGTCTTTCACAGTTTTAGTGGGGAGGGGGGAAAAGGCACTATACTGTACTAAATATCATTATTATACATTGAATAGCTTTTCAAAAGGTGCTTTTTGCTCACATGTGGCAAAACACTAGACAGGAGCCTTTGCTAAGTTTAATTTTGAGACTGTCAAGAAATTTCTCCAGGGGAAAGAGTGTAGAATCAGAGAGAAAGAAGCCTGACCCCTTGTTTTGGAGTCAGATCACCTAGGATTGAATGTGACATCTTGTGAATCTGGAATCTCTTGTAAGCAGAAGCTGCCTGGGTTGCAGGGTGCATATCAAATGAAGGAGCTTAGTTCAAGTAATCTGTGGTTTTTTTTCTTCTGACATTTTATGATATATGTTCTAACTTTATCTGTTACTTGTTCTAAAGCTCCTTCCAGGTTAGACATTCTGTATTCTCTTCCATTGGAGCAGCTAGGTAGCACAGTGGATAGAGCTTGGAATCAGTAAGATGAGTCTTCCTGAGTTCAAATCTAGCCTCAGATACTTACTAGCTGTGTGACCTTGGACAAGTCACTTCACCCTGTTTGCCTCAGTTCCTCATTTGTCAAATGAGCTGGAGAAGGAAATGGCAAACCACAGGTAGGAGGGACACGTTCTGGATTTTGAAGAAAAAAGTATTTGACACTTTTAAGTCACCATAAAGCAAAATGGAATTGGAGGGAGACTTACTTGTAAGAGGTAAAGGAATATTGTTGTTGTTTGTCCTTCGATTTTGAAGAGGAACAGTGACAGCATGGGTGACATCTTGACTCCTTCATGAATTGGATTTAAGTGAGGCAACATTACACTCTTGTCAGCCTTACTCTCTCTTCCAGAGTCATTGAAGTCCAGTGGCAAGACAAAAGGCAACAAGACTGGTGAATGACCTTGGCATCTTCATTGTCTAAGCACTCCACAGTGCCTGCATCAGCTGCCTTCACTGACATTGGAACAGGTTGTTATCATCCTCCCATTTCACCAAGGAAAGTCTTCACATGCTTGGAGTAGACATGCCCCTAACTTACCAACAGCTTTAAAGTCTATTGGTTACCCTCAAACAAGTTTAGCTCACCTGCCAAGATGGTTTGCCAGAGGGTGGCTGCTGTGCATACTACAACTTCTTGGAGCCACAGGTGAGAGCTGGATGCCAGGTGGACATCAAAGGTGGACAAGTAGCCCTGAAAAGAGCTAAGCAAGACATCACATGAGAGGTGCTAGTCCTCCTGAATATTCCACAAACCCCTATAAAGGAATAATTGTTTTGCTAGACCTTTGGAGAACTCTGGTGTAGGAAGCTAGGGACCAGAGGAACTCCAGAACAAGAAAAGAGGTGTTCAATGGCAAGAGATTCATTCTAAGTCATGATGCAATCTGCCAGCCATTCTAGAAATAAAGGGATTCTAATCCTCTAGAATGGGGAAATATTGCCAATTTCTGGGAGATTAGGAAGACAAGAATCATGGAGCACAGGAATATCAGTGGAGGACAGTGAAAAAGATCCATAGCAGAGTACACAATTTCCGAGCGTTGCTAGAGGCACGAACTGCAAGGAAATCAATGCTGCAAGGATCATGAAAGGAGACCAAGAGGGACCAGCAATATGCAGGAGCAACCCCAAACATCCATGTGACTGATGTTGTGTAGGCCTATGGGCAAAGGACATTCATTGGTGCTATCTTCATTTTCTTTGCACTCTAATAGGAATTCTAAGAGTACTGGATTTGGG